CAGGTCAGATGAATGCGACCTGGCCGTTCAGACACAGGTCGCATTTGAAAAGATCAGATTCGTATCGGAGCCAAGTGGCTTCTAATTTTCCATCTGTTTTGTTGTGTCGTTATCAATTAGCCAGGGTGGAGTAGAAAATGTAAAGTAAAATTAAAAAGTCCTCACAAAAATGAATGCTCAAGTCAAGTACAGAAGGATTTCTAATTGCATGATTTAATGTTTAGTTTGAAATGGTATCTTTTCTTTTTCAGTGGCTCTCCTGGTCCTCCATAGAACACAGCATAGGTTGCAGAGCAGAGTTTGTTAGAGTTGAGCAGACAGGTTTTTAGTGTGGGGGGGTGCAGGTTTAAACTCTGCACATCGGTCTCACTGCGCGCTCAGGTCAGTGGAACAAAACACCATAGAAATCCAAACGTCCCCATCACCGTTCTGAACATGAGAAGGAAAGGAAACATGCCCACTCTGTCTGTGGCGCACAGAGTGGGGAGGAAAGTTTCCCAGTGATTCTGTTCCCAAGGTAAAGTGCATAACAGAGAAAGGTCTGTGGTAAATCAGTATTTAAGTACTTTTGTTATTAGACAATTTATCATTTATTGAAGTGCCTTGAGTTATAATATATATATAAATAATATGTTTTTTATAGGGTTAGTACTAGGGCTGTGTAAAATTGAATCGATTCCTTTAAATTTTTTCAAAATCGATTTCTAGGGAATGAGATCGATTCCTTTTATAGTGACCCGGGTGACGTTCACATTCAAATAAGCAGGAAAGATGCACTCAAGATGACTTCAAGCCAGACAACTGCAAATATAGCCAATAGGTTGACTGAAGACATTAAGAAATGGAGGCTGACCAGCAAACACCCTGTAGTCGATACAGACAACGCTGCACATATGGTTTGTGCAGGAAGATAAAGCAGCTCATGCATGTCTGCTGTGTCACGTCTGCTTGCTCATGTGAGGCTTTTTCACTTTTTTTTCACTTTTCACAAACAAGGTTGCACTTATGAGACAGTTATGTTCACATCTCATGTTTAAAATGTCTGATTTACAAGTTTGCACTTTGTGTTTAATGTGACAGGAAAAAATAAAATACATGAGTATTTTGAACACAATTGAACTACTTTTATTATTGTAAAAAAAACAGATCGAATTGAAATTAATCGATTTAGAACTTTATGAATCAAAATCAAATCGATTCAGGACTTTGGCCAAAATACCCAGCCCTAGTTAGTACACATTGTAGCCAAGAATTTTACTATTTGACATAAATGTCTTTTGGTGGTTCAGTTTTCAGGCTTGTTATAAAATTCGCTCCTACAGGCTGTTTTGTTTGTTTGTTTTCAATTTTACCTTATTTAGATTTTTGTATTGCTTTTTGTATTTTTATTTTTAGTCCATATTCACTTCTGCTGAATTGCAAAATTTAATAATGTTAAAGAAGAACAAAAAAAGAAAATAATTTATGGAATATGACCTTGATCTGTTAGAAATATGATCTCTTAGTTGTTTTCTTGTAACTAAAGTTGCATAAATTCAATGATCAGATGTTTCTTATAGCGGGAATCGTTTCAGCTTCTGTTGGAGGGAAGGAGCATGCCTCCCCATCAAGGCACGCTATCTAAAATCTTCCCAACGTGTCGGTCTTTTCAGGCCTTTGTTGGACAACCAGCAGCACCAGAACTCAGATCTTCTGTCCCCCAACCTGAGGCCGAGACACCAGAATCTGATCCCTACACCATGTGGACCGGTGAGCAGATCCGCCCCTCACGCTGACACCAGGAGCACCAGATGGGCTTTGCTTTATTCAGACCAGACTCTCTGTCCGCTCCCTCCTGCAGATCAAGGCGTGGTCGGAGCTGTCCAACCTGGTGAAGATCTATTTCTGCTTCAGCATCGTGTCCCTGCTGGCGCTGCTCGGCCTCACCATCTCCAGCATATACAAGCAGCACAAGACCACGGACGTGGCCGACGAGGACAACTTCACGGTGTCCCTCATTCAGCTGGTTGGAATATGTGAGTTCTTCAATCAGCAGGGAGGGAGGCGCTCACTGAGCCTGCCTTCCCGCTGAAAGCAGAAGCTCTCTTGTTGAGGTCATGTGATAAAAGCTGTGGAGGATTACTAATGTCTTCGCTCTGATAAAAAAAAAAAACAACCTTTATATTTCCCACAAATATGACAGCAATGATTCCAACTGGTTTTTACACAATGGCTCATTTCTAAAAGTTTAAATACTTGTCTGTAAAGTCGAATCTATAGTCAAATTCAGACAAATTCCAACTCCAAAACTAAAATAAAACAACTTCCTTTTCTTGTTTCACTTCTAGGCTCCCATCCTCCTCCTCATAGGTTACAGCTGACTCAATTTCCCATCAATACTTTCCCCTAAAGTGGCCTACGTGACTCTGATTCGTTAGACATTCATTGTAGTTTTCTTTTTTTTTTTTTTTTTACACAGAATGAAAGTGTGGCTTGAAATGTGTCTTTTCTTTTGGTTTGTTTTTTTGCTCAATTTAATCTAATAGTCCAAAATAAGAAGTGAACGTCGTGATTAAATGCATGTAGTCTAACCTCAGGATTAGATCAGGGGTAACCAATTAAAATAAAAAATTATGAAAATCTGTTACTTTAAACAGATTTTAACACTGAAATAAAATGAGGTTTTTATGCATCCATGTTTTACATTAAATTGAAAATAATATATATATATATATATATATATATAAAAAGCCAGCAGTTGGGTCAGGATCAGGATTGCGGTCTGCTAATCCATGACCTCTGCACTAGATGTTGAAGGAACAAACAATATCAAAGAAGAACAAGGAGAGAATCAGAGGAGAAGTGAAGACGTCAGTGGGAACTCTGGAGGAGCTGCAGGGAGACACAGCTCAGGTGGTAGAAGCTAAAGGAAGATTATTAGAGATCAAGGTTTGAGTTTGTCAGCATCTGTGAAGGAGAATCCATAGAAGAAAGGGGCTGTTTGGATCGGACTGAAACAGAACCCTCTGACCAACGGGAGAAAAATGGTTTTTATTTAAGGAAAACTAACAGCAGAAAACGATGGAAGATGACGGTGGCAATATTATGGATAAGGGCAGGTTAAAAACTTCATGCAAAGCCGGCAGACATCAGCTAAACAAGCAGCTAACCATGAAGTAGAATCTCAGGTTGTAGTTTGCATAAAGTGTTGAAATCATTTACCTTTTCTTCTTTTGTGCTTCTTAGTCGGTCTTATAAAATGGCAATAAAATACTCTGAAGCTTGTGAAGGAAATATGAAAAAGATCTATATATAGTAAGAATAATGTGCAGCCTTACAGGGGCAGCTTCACAGGAAGCTACTGCAAACAGAAAGACTGTCTTCAGCTGCTTTCACCTGAATGGATGGTTTAAACGTCCGTCTCCCTGCAGGTTTTTGCATCTACTACATCACCCGTGGTGTTCTGCAGGAGAACAGGCAGGAGCTGATCGCCTTCGTTCTCAGCGTGCTGGTGGTCTTCATCCGCTCGGTGATCAACTACGCCGTGGTGGGCTCCAAGGGCAAGCAGGAGGTGCTGGTGAGTCACTGAACCTTCAAAAAAACCATCTTGTTTTAGGAAAAGTTTCCACCCGGTACTGACCCAGACTGAGAAAATCAGTGATTTACCAAAACTAAAGTATTATCTCTGAGCCTCTAATATTCTCATGACAAGGAAACACTGGAAATATTCTGTTTAAAATGGAAATATTTAAAAAATGATCTTATTAAACACAAAATCCACTTTTCCACATTTATTTATGGAGAAAAGTGAAACATTAGCCCCTCCCTCAGGTCAGATAATCAGTAAATAGCTCCTTGGTTCATTTTCACTTACAGCCTGATTACTATTGGACCCTGGTGAACTACTGCAGCACGAGTCCTGCACGATTTTTACGCCTTTTTAGTTGATTTTTACCCCTATTTTTCTGTCCATTTTTTTCCTAACATACACACAATGAGGGGAAGCATGTGAGAAAAGTGAAAGACAAAATAAAAGGCATCAGATTTCAGGAATCGAATAATCTGATGATCACTGTCTACAGAGTTTAAAACTTTGTAGGGACAAAAGCTGCTGGTAACAAAAATATTCAAGATCCCACTGAAGATTAACTCCTTTAATGAGTTATTTCAGGGTTTCTTTTTGTTTCAACAACAATAATATTGGTCTAAAATAGTCATGGGGTGTGACACCTGAACTAAGTACAAGCAGCTAAAATTGCCAAAAACTTTAGAAAAACTACAGAACTGTAAAGATTTTTGGAAATCCTGACTTATTTAAAGGAAAAAACACAAAAATGTATCGACATTCATGCTAGTTTGATTATTTTCATGTAAAAAAGGCTCATTAGCTCCACTGGTAGCAGTAGAGAGTCTGCTGCCTTAGAGGGTCGGACATGAGAAACAACTTTCTAACAAAAGCTCTTCATCAGACAATCTGAATGCAGAGAGAAGCATCACTTCACACCCTGAGAGCAAGTTTATTGTTTTTAACATAAAACTACAGACTACTGGTCAGAAATAATGGCTGTAGAAGGTAACAAAAAAAAGTGTGTTGTTGCTGACCACTAGGGGGCTCCATTCACACCATTTCTGTTCTTTCTGATGGAGAAGAAAGAAAGTAAACATTTAAACAATTTTACCCACCATGGAAGCGGCCATTTGTAAAATACAACGAAAATGTTGCATCTTTACTTTCGTTTTTACTGTTTATTTCATTAGTGATGTTTTTAAAATGATACTGATGTGAAAAAACAAACAATTTATCTGTTGGCAAAGATTACAGAAAATAACACTAAATAGGACCAGATATTAAAACCGTTTTAACAGATTGAATGACCTGGATTAAAATTAAAACAATAATATTGTAATTTTATTCAAAGCTGAGGAGCTCTTTGGTTAGAAAAAGCAAAGTTTGGTTATTTTGGGCTGAATTCTTAAACCCAAGACACGTTTTTTTCCCTTTTTTTGGTCATATTTCTCAGGCTTGATTAAATCCTTTCTACATTTATACCTTTAATAAAAGTCTGAAAGTAAATCTAGACATTGAAACAACATCTTCCATCTTAAATTAAAGCTCTACCCAATTCAGCCAGACCTTTTTAAGTACTTTAATGTCATTTAAAGCTCACTGAATTGCAGGATGTTGCAGGTATACTTGTACATAACACCAACAGTCTGTTTCAGCTCGTAAAGGCAGCACTACTCTATGGATTTGTAGCTTTAAGAGCAAATATCCTACAGTGACCCATCATGGGTCTGGACTTAGAACAGACCTCAGTGCTGCAGCTGGATGTAAATATGTTAGAAACATACAACTTAAGAGGAAAGCCCTGGAATGGAAGCGTGTGCAGATGTTTGGTAGCGTAGTTCAGCAGAAGGAACGTGGTGATGTATTAAAGGAGACTTGAGGCTTTTCATTATGGCGGTAATTTAATCAGAGGAACCTGCTGCTTAGTTTTCCTGCCTGGTTCAGTCAGAAGCTTTTCACTGAAAAAGGAGAAAACTTAGATTCACTTTTAATGTTGTAGATCATAACCAAAATGCTAATCATTATTGACTCATTATGAGATGAACAGAATAAAGGAATTTATCTGATAAGCAGCTTTTTGTCTAAAAAGTGTTTTATGGTCAGAATCGCTGGAAATCTGTCAGATCTGCGATGCTCCTTCCTCCCTGAAGAGGAGCTGGACTGAATTGAAAGTATATTTTAATGGAAACATTAACAGCATTCTGTCCTGGAGCATTGAACAGCTGCTAGTCCCCTTTCCTCCACTTGGTGTCGCTGTTCCTCCAGGTGGTGGTAAAGCTAAGCTACATTTGAGCTCCTTTAAAGCTTCAGGAGGATCTTTTAGTCTGGACCTGCTGCAGATGAAGCCGATTGCTGTACTTGATCTTTTTATGTTTTTTTTTTTTGACGAGATGATCTGATGGATCAGGCTTGTGTAGAAAGATCGTATGATTGTAGATAAACTCACCTAAGAAAAACAGAATATTTGTAAAAAAAAAAAAAAAGAAATATCTTGTTTTCTTGTTAGATAATTAATGATCACTTTGTTGCATTTGTTCTCACACTCTTCATCTCTGTAACAGAGGGAGGTTGTTTGACATGTGGCTCCTCCCATCCTAAATACCCTGCAGTCGTTCCTTTGTGTCTCCTTTGCAGAAAATTCCCCCTTAGCATGATATGTCCACCTCCGTGCTTCAGGGTTTCTTCCTCAAAACTTCAAAACCAAAGTAAAACTTCAAAACTGTTTTACTGACCAGCTGGACATTAGCTGCTTTATTAATGGGCCTCACAGGATTTTAATCCATGATGTCATTGCGTGTTACCAACGGCAACCTTTGGGCCCTCTTCAGATCATTAATCAGGTCCTCTTGTGTAGTTCTGAGTGGCTGCTGCTGCCCTTTCCCTTCTCACCTGTCATCCTGTAGTTTTTTTTCACCTTTTATTGCCCTTAGAGACTTTAAGAAGCAATCACCGCTCTCCGTTTAGTCCTAGAGAGCTGCAGGTAACAATGTTCGGCATTTCTGGCTCTGCTGGTTTGCTTATCTTAAAGGAATATTTTTTTTTAAAGTAGGTCAGGTAGATGTGTGGTCATTAATCAGTTACAGTAGAAAGCTGTCCTGGATGACCTCGGTTTGGAGAGTCAGAGGATGAAGTCGGCGGCCTTTAATAGTCAGATAGCTCTTGCATTGTGTGCTTAGAAAAATAAAAGAAGAAATCCGCACTCCGACTTGCTGCTTTGCTCTTAGCTGGACAGCTGCAGAAATGGTACCGACTTCTCAAAGCCCCTCCACAGAACCAGGCTTCAAACAGGCAGATTTTCCTCTTTTAAAACATACATGTAAGCCAAGAGTGAAGCATAATCACTGCTGCAGAGGATCAGAGGCCAGATCAGGGAGGGAAGCTGACCTCAGGGAGAGAGGCAGCCATAGGAACTCTGGAGGAGCTGCAGAGATCCGCAGCTCAGGATGGAGAAGGGGGTCGGCTTGTTGCATAGAAGCACAAAATATTATAAATAGCTTTGGAGAATAAAAAGGGCAACTTGTGCAGAAAACGCTTCTGCTGCACGTTGCAGAAAACCACTTACAGGCTCAGAACCATGATGGATTTTCTTCATCAGGGATGAAGCTAGGATGGAAGGAGAGGAGCGCCTCCATATTAGAACGGCCTAGTCCAAGTCAGAGAAGACATCGCCACAGTGTTTTTTATTTGTGTGTTTGTGCTGCAGGTTCGCTTCGTGTGCATCGTCAGCCTGGGCATCATTCACATGCTCTGCACCATGATGCTCATCCTCAGGCCCAACATGATGGCGTTCCGTGTGGGCGGGGCCCTGGAGAGCCTCCAGGAGCAGTACTTTCTCCTCAACCTGTGTTTCTCCATGGTGACCTTTGACCTGCAGGCTCAGGTAAGCATGCATGATAAACCGTCTCCGTAGTACGATCAGCGGCGAGATTTTGTTCTCCCAGCCTCGTTTTGTTTATCAGCGCTGCTTTCAGACGTCACTAAGACGTCAGAAGAAGCGCATCTCTGCAGATTGATTGTAGGCAGTCTGGCTGGTCATGCATGTGAGCCTCAGGATGCCCAGATAGGGCTTGTGGACGGCCATGTATGACATGCTACATTTCTGCAGCGTGAGAGAGGGCAGAGCGCTCAAAGCCGAGGATGACAATGATCAGAAATGTTGCTGCTCTGGTTCTGTGACATGCTTCAGAGATGAGCCCATGCAGCTGCTTCCCTGCACACATGTATCCCAGCCTTTCTCGCCTTGTGACCTGAACGCTCACGTCGCTGGATTCTGTTAGAAATAACTGTGTGCCGGTGTCAGTAACGGCGCATCTGTGTGATGTTTTCAGCTGTGTCTGTGCATCCTGATCACAACATCGGACTCTGCCATGTCCACCATCAACACCATCATCCTGGGAGTCGGGGTGTTCTGGGCCTTGGTCACCGCCACTTTCGGAGCCATAGCGGTGAGCGATGAGTTGTCTTTCTAGCAGGCAGCGATGGGCTGGAAGCAACACCTGGGGGGGAAACCCGACGACTCTGTTTACACCTCAGGTTCAGAACAGTTCTCATACTCGCTGACCTTTTCCAGATCTTCTCACGCAAAGCTTCATCTGACAGACCGACACAGAGAAGAGCAAAATTAGTTGGGAGGAAAATGATACCTTTCCATTTGTTTTACAAACAGAAAGATCTGAAAAGTGTGGCATTGGGTGGGTCTGGAAAGAGCAACTCTAACTCTGGAGGATCTGCAGAGACAAACAGCTCAGGTGGTGGGAAGCACAGCCTGCTAAAAGTTCCTGTTTAAGCAAAGAAGAACAAATCTACAAATAAATCAAGCAAAAACGATCCTTCTGACCCTGATTTGAGATTGAAATACCGAGCTAGAGCAGATTATTCCTCTTAAAATACTCACAAATAAGTGCAAAGTGCAGGAAAACAATTGCACTTAAGACTTTGTAAAATCACAATCTGCATTCTCAAAACAAGAGAAAGTGTGGTTACACTGCAAAAACGATCTAGAAATCAGTAAAAAATGTCTTAAATTAAGTGTATTTACCTTTAATTTGAGCAGGTTAATAAGAGAGTTTGCCAGTGGAAGGAGTATTTTTACTCTTAAATAAAATAATTAGATAATATTCATTTGAAATAAAACAATTCAATAGTTTTTCCTTATTCTAAATGTAAATTGTTTTGTTCCATTGGCAAATTGTCTCACTTACCTCCCCAATTCAAGAAAATGCACTTATTTTAAGGTCAATTTACTTATCTACTTACTACTTATATACTTATTTATCCCACCCACTAACCACCCACACCCCCTTCACAGAGAACATGGTGGTGGTAGCATCATGATGTGGGAATGGGTTTTCTAAGCCGTGGGATCGAAAGCTGCAGAAATTATTTGTTAAAATAAGTTGATTATCCTTTGATTTGGGCAGATATAGAATAAGACAATAAACAGATATAATAAGAAAATAAAACAACTCAACTATTGTATTTCGAGTGCATAATATCTAATTCCCTTTTTTAATGGTGAAAATACTTTTTTGGCAAATCATCTGCTCAAATTAAGGTGCACAACCACCCATCTTAAGAGATATATACCTATTTTTTGATCAGTTATAATGAAGCCGCTTAGAGATGGGAAAATGTTTGAGCTAATTGTTGCTCAACCTGTCAGAGGCTGTAAAGAGACATTAGCCTGGGGCAGTGGTTCTCCCTCCAGCAGGAAAACAACCCTAAAAAGCTGCTATGAAGGAAGGGTCCTCTGTCCTGCATGTTTTAGGTGTTTCACAACATGCCTGGAATAAATGAACAGGTGTCCAACAGGTTTGTGCAGCTCTGGAGGACATGCTGAGGAAGTCATGCAATCATTTCATTCTGCTCTAATGAAGCAGGACTGATCTCACTCATGCTAGAAAGTGTTGACACAGCAGGGGTACATAAAAATGCACACCGCACTTTACAGGTGTAATTTTTACCTTTTTTTATTACTTTTTTTGCCTTGTGCTGTTTTAATATTTGCTCTGTTTGTGGAATTCCCATGAAATAGGTCATATTTTGATTTAAACATGATAAAATGTGACAGATTCAAGGAATGTGAATACTAAACTATTGGTCACACACTGCAAAAAATGGACCTAAAAATAAGTAAAATATTCTTAATTTAGGTGTCTCTGTCATCCACCTTATTAAAGAGTATTTTTTGCCCTTAAATAAGATAATTAGATATTCCACCAGCATATTGTCTCACGTTCCTGCTCAAAACAAGAAAACTATTCTTATTTTGAGAAAAACTGACTTACTGAGATTTCATTTCATTTGCAGTGCAGACGCCTTGAACATCATCTCAGAATAATAAATAATAATTTTAAAAAAGTCAGGAAATCTTGATCAAGTTAAGATTTTGCAGATAATGTTTTTTACGGGTTCAACTGTAGTTCAGAGGCAGTCTGAAAGAGCAGCTGTAGGATTCAACTCATCATACTTCGACCTGCGTGCACATTCCCTACCATCAAGATCTACCTGAAGATTATATCTGACGGATTTAAAACAACTCTTCCTTCAACTTTTTCAGGTATTAAAGGAATCCAAGGTTCTGGTTTGGGTCTTCATGGGGCTGAACCTTCCTCAAGTGGCCTTCTTCGTTTACCTGATGTACTCGGTAGGTAGATATAAACTCCCAAAGCTCCGTCTGCGTTAAAGCATGGCTTCCTCCCTGGTCCTAATTTATTTTGAGGTCTTCCTTTGATACATTTTTTTTGCAGCACCTGTTGGTAATGAAAAAAAAACACAGGTCCTGCTTGTGGAGCTCTTCAAAAAGGACGAGACAATGCAGCATCTGCTTGTTTAATGGGAAGGCTTTCCTCTTTGAAAATGGGGCCGTTTAGAGTGAAGGATGCTGACCAGGCTGCTCCCCATCAGAGCTGCAGACCCTCACAACCATATATGGCATTGAAACAAAGAGTTTATGCAAAACATAGAATCTTTTGTCTTCCAGCTGCAGTTTTTCATTTCTACTCTTATCTATTATTATCAATAGATTGATGAGTTTCAAACAGACCTCAAGTCCTGAAGGAAAAAAGAAAGCTGTTTGTTTTACCTGCAGGTGATAGAGAAATGGTTCAAGGACCAGACGTACACCCTGGAGGCAGCCGCCGTCACCGGAGCTTTAATTTCACTGCTGATCAAAGGCGTTTTATTCTGGGGCCTCATCAAACTGGTGCAAAGCTTCGGACAGGGACTCAGAGAGAGAAGTGAGTTTCAAGCCAAAGCATTTTTTGATTAAGCTTTAAACAAACTGCTGCATTATGATTTATTTATCGATGCCATGCTCTTCTTCTTTTCTAAGTGTTTGCATCCAGTTAGAGCGTCTCATCGGCTGGCTGCACATCGCCATCTTCTCTGCAGCTTCTGCAGCCTGACAGGAATGCAGAGCTCCAGTTTTTATCCAGCATTAACTCTACCAAAGCATTGACCAAGCCTTTTATTTACACATTTCTAAACTCTAATGAGCTGTTTGTTAACATTTAGAAACATCTGTTAACTGGATTTTTTTTTTTTTTTTACTAAAAACCAAACCTAATATCAAAATCAGTTTTTAATTATTCTAACTTATTGAATCCAAATATTGTTTTAAGCTCAAAAGCAATATTTTAATTCAATTGTAATTTGGTAACAAATATGCCTGAAAGCAGAAGCAGCCTCCGCTCGATGCTGCAGCCATGACACTGAGCTGATCTGCTCCTCCAAGAGCAGAGATTCGTTTGTACCTCTGAGGTAAAAAAAAAAACACTGTAATCTACAAACTGGATGTTAGTATATTTTTTGTAAAGTGAAAAAAAACTTTCTCCACTGGTGATTTATAATGTTTAATGTGCTATTTTTTTGCTTGCTCACAGATTTCTTAACATTTCTTGGCACCTTAATGCACTCAGTGTTTTTTTATATTCTGGATTCTTAATAAACGTAAGAAAAAAAAATGCTTGTGTTTTCATTTGTTTATAAAAGCTGTTTATTTGCTGCTTTAGTTCTACGGCTGACCTTTCAGGAAGGGTTCTGCAGAAATTTGTTGTCAAACTTGAGAAAACCACACAGAGAAAACCGACCAAGATGCAAAGTCCGAATGTTTAATCCTCTTGCCTTTAATCTGGCAGTTAAATTCTGAGGAATTTAGTTGAAAAATAACTTGGATTTAGTAATTTCTTTATAGATATTTGCAATTTAATTGTTTTGGCCAAAGTGCTTTATCTGAATTCAGCTTAACTTTAGAATATCAGAAGGCTAATAAAGTAATGATATGATGGGGAGAACGAGCTGTTGGACTCAGCAGCTCTCATGGAAGCGCCTGACTTGGAAGCTCATTGAAAATAAGCTTCACATTTCTTATGAAGCTGGTTCATAGAGCGCTGTGTTTAAAGATTAATGGAAAGTTGAGTGGAAGAAAAAAAAGTGTCTGTTTTGCTTTAACAGTTTAGTTACTAAGGATCCCGCGCTTTATTCTGGTGTTGGTTCTGCGGTGACTTAAATCAAGTGCCAGGTCAGCACAGCGTCCACCACAGAATATCAGGCTTCCTCGTACTTCCTGAGTCATTCAATAGGAAACTGAATGACACCAGAACCAACAATGAATTTGAAGACGGAACTAGCCTGGGCTTCCTGAACGCCTCAGCAGAACCACAGGCTGATTTTCTCTACGCCACTCTGCAAAAATGCAGTAAATCATGTAAGAGAAGATCCAGCCTGTGATTGGATGCACATACCGGACTGTACATGTGCATATTTAAATGGCAGGTCCACATTTCTGTAAAAGAAAGAAACTTTTTTTGCTGAATTTTCTAAGAAATCAAATGAAGTATGCTGCTCAAAATGAACAAAGCAGAGATAAACGCTTAAATAAAACCTGGTCCTGCTGGAAGTTCCTTCCCGTTAAAGGGGGACTGTGTCTCTCCACTGTCGCTGCATGCATGCTGAGTATGAGGAATTTCTTCTCTGTATGCTCATCTAGGTGGGGTGAACTCTTTTAACTCTTTGACTAAAGAGAAAAATTTAAAAATTAAAAAAGTAAAACAGTTTTGAAGTTTTACTTTGGTTTTGAAGAAGAAACCCTGACACACAGAGGTGGACATATCATGCTAAGGGGGGATTTTCTGCAAAGGAGACACAAAGGAACGACTGCAGGGTATTTAGGATGGGAGGAGCCACGCGTCAACCTCCTTCCCTCTGTTACAGAGATGAAGAGTGTGAGAACAAATGCAACAAAATGATAATTTATTATCTAACAAGAAAACAAGATATTTCTTTTTTTTTTTCACAAATATTTGGTTTTTCTTAGGTGAGTTTATCTACAATCATACAATCTTTCTACACAATTGATCGCATTGTTTGTGTCATGATTAATGTTATATAAATAAACTAGTGCAATTAAATCATTGCACTAACTTATACAAATAAATTAGTGCAATTAAAACACACTTTAGATTCCTCGAAGTCCACCTTTTTCTCCTTCAACCAGTAACTAAATCAATACATTTTGTGACCAACTTTATCAAGGAGTTGTTTACTTTTTCAGATGTGAAGTTGCAATGTTGGCGGGCTGCAGCTGTGGACGCCAACATTCCTTCCTGACTGCCAGAGGCAGTAAGCAAAGTCACCTACATAACATAACTCAGCCGAACTACGGTCGGTCTCCTCTTACTGAGAACTTCTGAGTGACCGCTGTGACTGGCAGTCATCCACACAACCAATGTTTTTAAGTTTGCTTGTGCATCAGATTAACGCGTTTCTAAGAAACAATGAACGCAATTAATGCGTTAAAGTTCCAACCTGAGCAACAATTGTTACATAAAACCTGTATTAAACTCATCAGGTTTTTTAACCTTATTGTTAATAAAATCTAGATCTTGATGATCAGAACATTTTAGGATAAAAAACTTTTTACTAACATTAATTAGACTTTAATGTTCTGTATTTAATGTTTTTTTTTTTACAGCTGCTTGTATCAGAAAAAAACATATTTAAGTGTTTTTGTGTTAATTAACTTCATTGTTATCAGTTTTGCTAAATCCATATAGTCATTAGTAGATTAGGTATTGATGCAATGTTTGTTATAAATCACTCTAAAACTGATGCATATTCACAATTA